TTAGCTGCAATAAATGAAGAGAAGAGCTAGACAATCAACTTGCTTTTCCCTTGTATCTCAAGATCCAGGGAAAGCATACAATCTAATATGTGAAAATGGGATTAGTGCAACATAAAAAAAAAAGGCAAGAGATTTTATAGTGGCATCTTATGTGATTAATTTCATATTTTATTCAATAAAATGCCAAGATTTAAAATTTATCTTAAGCATCCAAACCTTACAAAAGAATTAACAGCAAATTTACTGGAGTTTGTACAGTCATGGTATACTTGCTAGAAATATTGGCAAATTTAGGTCAATTTTACTAGATTAGATATCAGATTTGCACTTTGATACTGTTTTGCTTTTGTACCCTATTGCTTTATTTATTTATTTTGTATCAAAAACTATGAAATGTCATTCACGCTCTTTAAATTGCACCGTTATTTAGGTATGACTTTCAGTTTTGTATGATTTGACCCCAAAAGCACCAGGCAGTTTGTTCCCCCTCCCCTTCTCTTACTTACTGGCATAATTTCCATCTAGCGAAGATTTCAAAAATAAGGAAGGAAAAGGGCTTCCTGTACAAGCTTCCTGTGAATCCCATCCAGATAAAAAAGACTTGTGTAAAAACTTGGCAGGCAATCCCAGCATATACCACTTAGTGATTTCCCTTTTTTGTGCTATCATTCTGTGTATAGCAGATGAATCTGGAAATCCAAATACTTTTCTTTCATTTTCAAATAAGAAATCTTAAATGGTAAATTTCCTATCTGTATTTAACACCCACATTTTAAATTAAAAGTTTTGCATACTGACAGCATTAGTCATAGGAAATCCTGTATGAACATCCAGCACTTAAGTTGGACCTTCCCCTAGATCATGCCATAGAAGGAGTTTACAGAAAAACATTCTGTTACTCTTAAATAGTTCATCTGATTTTAACCCTTTACTTGCCACCGTATCTTGAATGACAGTGCTTTTACGGATAACTCATTTTCTTGTGCTCAAAATGATGTTGAAAATCTTTATATTTAAAAACTAAGTTTTTCTATATTCTAATGATATACCAGTAGGATTCTATAGATACATATGCATACATACACGCACAGCCCAATAGTCTTCCCTAGATAGTATTCAGAAGAACATCTACTCAAATGAAAAATAATTGCTTAGAATATTCTATTGCCTCTCCAGGAAGCAAGTGCTTCTAAGAGCAGGATGTATGATTTCTTTATATTTTGGAGGTATAGGGTGAATTCTCATAGAAAAATATTATATTAAAATATTATATGCAGTGCAAGTATTTTAAAATATATGATAAAAAAAAGAAGTCCACAAGAGTACAAATTCTCTCTCCTGGGTACAGTTATGCTGGGTAACACTTCTCTTTATCCACCCCTCTGCCCACTGCTGCAGCAGGAGACATGGCAGGAGACTTGGGTAAGGGGTGAGGTTGAGAAGGCAAATATATTAATATTCACTTATTAATTATCAGCTTCAGCAGAACTCTACAGCTCAGTAAAAATGGAAGGCTAGAAAAGGCAACACAGTGAGCTTATAAAATAAACCATAACATGGAAAAGATAAAATGTAAAATGTACACAGTCTTAAGGCACACAATCWCTTTCACATTACAGGGTGAAAACAACTTTGAAATTGCTGAAATTTCTTTGTCTTTATTTAAAAGGAATTATTCCCTAGCAGATGTTAAATCTCCTATAAAAAAAAAATCTTAGTTTTCCTAGTGGGCAAATCCTACCCATGTTGAGTTACATATTATCTAACAGCTGGTTTAAATTAAGTTCTCAGATTTAATGAAGGAAACCCCAGAGCATGAAGTGAGTCAATTAATATCTAAATTTGAGATTAGGATAAGGGTTGTGATCTTGGACATAACAAGCATACAGTAGGCAAATAAAGTTCAAGAATCATAGCCTTTTGTAATGCTGTGGATCCTACTCCAGTTTTAAATGAAAATGTGGTTTAATAAAGGACTGTTCATAGACAAGGGGTTTCAAAWCATGCAAATACTAACAGATACAATAAAAGAAATAGTAAGATAAAGATTCTTGGTATTTGAGAGCTCTGGTTCTTCTAATGAATTTAAATAGCCTTTTATATGTTTGGGGAGCTTCATCATTATAAGTAATATAATAATTTCCTGTTATATTTAAAAGGGAACTTTTTTTWWAAAAAGGGGRAAAAAAACCCTACCCTACATGTTTTCAGATTCTCWTTTTGAACTACTAGGCATTTGGGAAACTCATAGAGTAAGTTAAATCAGAGTATAGCTCTTCCTGTTATCAATATTACTATGAAGATCCAAGCAGAGGGAAGATTTAGACTGAGATACAGTTTTTTAAGCCAAGATCTGAACTGTTTGGTTAGAAAAGAATTTAGTTCACTATTTCCTTTCTGCGCCACAGAGCCTTCTTTCAGTGCTTCCCACCACCAGCAGTTACAGGAAATTTTGTGAARCACCATGAGGCAGCTTTTCATGATAACCTATAGCTGAAATTTGAATTAGAATTCATCCCCCTTCTGATATTTTGTGATATGACTTCAGCAGTCTAGAAACACTGAAGAGTCCAGATTTATTTTTATATGTTAATTRTTAGGTCTTGATTATTTCTACCTCTATACAGGACAAAGCAGTCAACTTTTTTTTTTTAATGCTTTTAGGTCACTACTGCCACCACAGAGGAAGGGAAGGGATGGGGTTCTTGATATTCTGCCTTTCACAGATTCACAGGTCTGCACTTGTGTGGCTGTGCTGTGCATTGTATTACCAATGGGAATAGCATTAGCTTTTCCTCTTTAGATCTGACTGTGAACCTGTCAAAGCATATAGAAGTAAATTTCAGGAGAGAATACAGTGAAGAAAAGGCCACAGAAAATCAGAAAGCACTGTTCTTAAACCAAGGTGCCKGTGTTCCTGATTTGCAACAGTTTGCCCATTCAGTTGTGTCTAACAGAGTAGCCACTTAAGTCCTTTCTTTCCCTGACACTTTGTTTCTTTTGCCATTTCACATTGTCATTGTCAACTTTAGCATGTGATTGTAAGTATAACTGGCTTTGTTAGTAGCCAATAAATATTGTAGATAGCAACTGCAGGAGCATTTCATTAACCAAATRCTACGTTCAACCCACATGTAACCATGCATATAACCAATATGCATATAAGCATTGGAAGCAAAAATAACATGAGTTAAGCAAGCCTTCCTGATATTGCCAGTCTGGCATTTTCTCTTAAGTAAAAACATGGAAGCAATTCTRTGCATAAGAATGATGACAGTGAAGAGAGGGGGTAAGGAGATGGCTTGGAATTAATTTTGGATGTGATCGAGTATTTTGTAAGTAAATGCAAAACACATATGGAAGCCAACGTGAGGAGCATGTGCAGGGAATTTCATTTATAAGACCTCGAACAGTAATCTCATTGCCCTCTTAAATAGTTTTAAATATATATATACATMAAGTGAGTCTTCCAGGAAAAACAGTTTCATTAGCAGGTATGTGAAGGACTCACAGTTCTCATTCAAGTTAATAGGGGCATGAAAAATGTTCAATGTGAAAATCAAACCACTTTTTACAGGGTTTGTCCATTTGGGAATTTAAGTATATTTAACCAAAAGTGCAAATTCAAATTATGCTAGTAAAATTGGCATAAAATTTGCCTGGGCCTTTGTAATTTAAGTTGGGAAGAATTGATTTAGGAGTCCTGACTTGATATCTGGGAATCTGAAGATTGCTGGTGGTTCAGAAGGTGCTGCAACCCTCCTGCTTATGCCAGTGCTCCTGTTCYACCTCCTCTCCTGCCCCCCCATCATTTCAGCTGTTTGGGGAGCTGTGTAGTTTACCAGATAAGGGAAGTGATGTGGATTCAATCAAGTGTGGGGTTGGGGTTTTTTTTAACTTTTTTGGCTAGGTTATTTCTAAACTGTCAGTGTGCTGCTGCAATATTCCAAAAAACATGCATGAATGAGGGAGTGAAAAAGAAGAGGCAAAGGAGAAGGGAAAAGAGTGTCTACTTAATCTAACACTGATATGTATGTATGTATGTATGTGTGTGTGTGTGTGTGTGTGTGTGTGTGCCTGTGCGTTCATACTTACCAAAGCCGAGCTTCCTAAATCTTGGAGGCTGCTCTGACTATCAGTGCTGGCTTGGTAGCCACAGTAGTTGAAGCAGGGATGGCCAACTGCTCAGCTACTGCACTCCACAATCTGGTACATAAATGCAAGCAGCTTTATTGGTAGATTCTTAAAATGCCTCAGCTGAAACTACTCAAGGTCATACAGCAAGACCCCCAAGTTAAATCAAAAGCAGTGAAATAACACACATATGCTTATACCAATTTAAAATAATCAGTTTTAAAGAATCTATTCTGATTCCTGATACAGAGTAAAGTCTTCTCAAAGAAAATATTTTGCCCTTCCTCATTTGCTCTATTTGTACACTGAACATTCTGCCTTCCCTGTTTCCCCGCATAAGCAAAATAAGATTTTTAAGCAAGTTTTCTTTCCAGGATTTTTCAATAGCCTTATTTCCAGAACTGGTATTTATGTCCAGCAATCGTATTACTTTTCTGCAACTGTCAAGCAGTAATTTAAAGAAGAATCATGTCTGTCAACTTTGTTGCTACTTTTTGCACAGAAGTGAAAGTTGTCAGTAACTGAAGGGATCTTATCTTGACCCAGAGACACTAGTGGACAGTTCATTATATGTCTTCTTTTAATTACTTCTTAAAAGACTTTCAAACAGTTAATGCTTGAGGATTCTTTAACATTTRTGTAAATAAACAGCAGCATGATACGTGTACGTGATGCAGTAAAGGACAGCTTTGCATAGGGGAATTTCTTTATTGCTAACACATGGTAAGTGTTTGGAGCAGTCTTAAATAAAAAGGAAGTGTCACCTGTTTCTAATCAGGTAATCACTGTAGCCTGGCTTCAGTCTCTAACTAAGGGCACTTAAGTTAAAAGAGCAGTTGGGAGAGGTAGAGCTTCTTGCTCTGAGCAATTTAGTTTACCTGACCTGCTCTCTGAAGATGTGTAAAGAGAACCTATATTGTCCCTTAGCTTAGGTGCCTTTATTAGGTGACAGGAGTTAAAATAACAAAATCTAGGTATGTCTCTTGAAAGTGTTATGGCATCATTTAAAAAGGCATGTTCTGTACTTGGGTTCTCAAGATAAAGCAACCTGGTTTGCAAGGTGGGTGCAGAAGTTTATCATTTTGACTAGCTCTAAAACTACTTTTAGATAGAAATGGATGTGGTGTCTTTATGTATGCTAAGATGCTCTGATTTGTGGGCATAACAAGTTCACCAACTTTGAAAAATGATATCCTTTGGAATGAGTAGGTGCCAATTTTGATAATATGAGGCTGTGCTTTTAAGACTACCAGTAATCTTTAAGTGGGGATTCAAAAACCTAACTTGCCTTGTATGCCCCATTTATGAATGGTTCTGTGGCCTTCAATAGCAGCAGTTTTTTGTACYTGTGTGAGGCATGTTTTTGTAACTTATTTAAGAAACCAGAGACATGATAGCTGTAGCCATTCCCACTAATTCAGCAATCTGAGTGAGAAGAAYTCAAAAAATTGGCCTGGATGCTTTGAACTTTCATTCCTCTGCTGGTGTCCCCTTCAATAGCTCTGGTGTGTCTGGGGTAAAATGATACAGGATTACAGKATCTTCCTACACATTGTATTAACTGCTTTAAGAATGCAGTGAAGCTTTTAAAAATGATTTTCTTTTATTATTATTCTATTTGCATGATGATTGATTTCATCTGAAGACAAAACTCTTCAGAGTGGCCCATTCTGTGACCCAAAGCTCCTCTATGGGTGTTTGTGCCTGGGACTGTCTGTTTTTTAGCTCCATCTGCTGGCACTGTCTCTGTCCTGTTTCCTACATCTTCTTGTTACGCTGAGAGTTTTGACTGGCAGTTGGATTAAATTAAAAGGAGACCAACAAATATRTTTCACAGTCTGGAGGTATTTTTAACTGGTTGCTGTCCTTTGGTTTAAGGAACCCTCCTAAAAATTGCATGGRGAGTACAAAGCTCAAAACACATAGTCCTCAGGTTTAAGGAAAAAAGTTATTTGTTCTTCCTCTTGTTCTGCTTGCAGTGGTACTTTGTAAGTATCTTTATAGGTTTGGAATGATTGGGTCAGGTCCTTAGCACTCAAGTTCTGTTCTATTTATGATTTCAAAGATAGATTACTCTGTTTTCCTGGTTTTTTGTTTAGTGTCTTTAACCCTAACGTCTCCTGTTATCTTATAACCAAGTAATTTAGCAGTTTTCAGTAATTAATCAACASTATAGAAACCTTTGCTTTACCGTATATAACTGTTCCTAGTATTTCAGAATATATAATGTTTAAGGATGGAAGGGCTGTGATGAACTCTTGCCTTTTGTAGTTCCATTGTTCCTTAGCAAAAGTACTGGAACGAATAATAGGCAAAAGGAGAGARGAGGGCCCTGCTGTGCAAAAGCTTTCTAAAATTGTTTAAGTTTTCTGAGGCTTTCACGGTAAATTATATGATTACTTTCTACCAGTTTTCTTTGTAAAGAGGACCAGCTCTTTTCAGAGACTATATTACAATGTTCATGTCAACAGTAATATATACTTGGAGAATTAGCATTGCCATYGGTCCTTGGGTGCAGACATGAGCAGTGCTTGTAATTCCAAAGAGCAAGTGCTTTTCCTCATGGAGTAATTGCCTTCTCTGCAATTCATCTGCATTTGGATTTTTTTTCCCCCCTTTATTTAGAAGGTTAGTGCTGACTTTCTTCACTCTCTCCCACAGAGCTAATGCTATGTGTTACTAAGATGTAGCCTATTCCATAATGAATTTGGGTATATTATTATTTTAAATACTATTTTCTTGCTCTCCATCTGGCTGTTATATATTTTGTGTGCTCRTAGTGTTTGCAAGCTTTCTGTATAGTAAACTTTGACTAGACTGTCTTTTAGTTTCTTCGTGTGAGTAAGCCTAGGTAGTTATACCTGAGTCTAGGAATAAGGAGGAAAAGCTGGAGAAGAGCACCCTAGTCTTGGAATTAGATAAGGGTGTGTTGTTGGGTGGAGTTGCTTGTGGATAGGTTTTGTTGTTTATTTTCCCATAATTGACTCATGCTGCCTCTGCAGAGGCTGCACCTCACACCGTGCCCTGTGCAGCTAAAGGTGCTCGTGCTGGCCCCGGCCGGGTGCTCCTAGGCTGGTGCTGCAGAGCAGCTGCCCAGGCTAACGCACCCAGAGCCTGGCCAYGTTTGTTCGCTCGGGCAGATGCTGCAGGGACAGCTCCACAGCTTTGGGTTTTGCCCCTGGCTCAGGCTCCATGCTRTGCCACACAAAGCCACAGCAACACCCTGTAGAAGGTAGATCCCTTGCTTCGTTCATTAATACGTATGCAGAGATGATCCATACTGGAAGGCTTGTTTACATTTTTAGAAAGCGATTATTATAAGAGATTCTTTAGGCTTCTGCATGGAAGAAAACTACCAGGCTACCTCTCACAATAGGTTGAGAGGGTTGTTGATTGTATTTCGTGACCACTTTCTGTACATTGGAAAGGTTCTCTTCAGAAATAGGCCTCAGTGTTCAGCAAGTGTTACAGTGGTGTTTAACAGTGCTGTTTTGAAGTCAGTGTTTTCTAGACTTAAGTAGCCTTAAATAATTCAGTGATGGAGGACTCTTAGTTACTGTGCTCTGAGAGTAAAAATGGTTAGTTTCTAACTTTTTTTCCCCCCTCACTGTAGAATAAGTTAGATGGTTACTGTTCTGTCAGTAATGACAAGTACTTTCCCCCCTTCCTCCAGTGAGTATTTGTGGTCAACTCTGCCCCCCACTTCCCCAACTCTGCTTATTTTTAGCTCCCTTGTATTTAGGGGGTAAGTGTGAGGGGTTTGGTTTTACTATACGTCTAAATTCTAATTAATATTTCTTAAAACCCAGACATGTTGTTCTGATTAAAGGCTCTTTGCCTAGGCATTTCTGTGTAGCCTGCCCTGTTTGAAACCCTGCCTTTTTCTGACTTCACTTCCTGAATCCGTTGACAACCTTCCCAGCCAAACAAAATACATGTTCACAATGCTGTTATTTGCAAAATATTCCCTTGTGAGTACAGCTGGGGCAACAAAAAGCAAATTTCTCTCTAAATCTCAGAGAACTGACTATTCCTCATAAAAATTAAGGCACATCATGCATTAGGCAATTTTAATCTCAATAGTTAAGTACATGTTAAACCTTTGCATTTCAGCACATATAAGTGCACGCATGTCTTTCATTACAATCACGCCTATTGATCACAGAGTGATCTTGCCCTATGCTAAGGGTGCTTTTAATTGGTGTTCAAGCAAACTACATGATACCAGATTCCTAGCCCAGCAAGCTGCTTACAAAGCAGTAGAGTTAGTAGAACTCTGCCGATCCTAGACCTGATCCCCAGGTGGGATATGGGGTAAGTGAAGGGGCTCACGCTATTTCATCCTAGGGTGATTGAGTAGCCGGCCCCAACTGGCATCTTGGTGGATGGTCAGTTTTTCCGATGTGGTCACCAGAACGTCAGAACCAGGCTGGGACAAGCGTTGCAGAACGAGCCCATCGYGCGGTGGCCTCTTTATCTGGCGCACGGTTGCTCGGGAACTTCTTTGCCTGCGCTCTGGAACGTCRTTCTGGAGGAAACATAACTGCAGTACGAAACGTCTGCATGTGCATATTAGCATAGGGTGGAGACTGTCACTCAGCTGTATTTAATTAACATAGTATTTTATATAATGTATTTATTTTTTATGTAATTAGATGATTAAGCAAAATGCTTGCTAGTAACATCTATTCCCCAACCCGGCACTGCTGAGAGTTAAACCTGTACCTTTGCAGGTAATTAATCTCCTTGCCCTGCTTATTTTGCTAGTTGGCACTTGCTAAATCCCTGTAAAACCACACCCAGCAGTGCTGGGTATTATCCCTGCACTGTCTATTCCTACATATGGTCAAAATCAACTTACCTTCCGGGTTGCTGACATCAGCAAAATGTTCTCTTGGCAAAGTGCAGAATCCTCCTAGTAACCCTTTGTTTGGCTAGTGTTATTTTGCTTGCAGTCCCTCTGACAGCAGCAGACGGCAGCGAAACAGTGACCGTCTTACTGCTCTCATTACTATGGGGAAGGATATTACCATATTACGATACGTTTTACACATCAAAGTAGCCCCTCGTATGATAAAACCCGTGTGCTATGGGCAGAAAGAAAAAAAACCATTGGAGGAAATGTACTCGGATGCATCCTTTAAGGAACTGATCTCTTGACTCACATTGGTTGGAAGTCTCAGGGTATCATTTTGATAACAGTAAATGTAAATATATACAGCCACACAGTTGTCTTGTGAAGTGACTTCAAGCAAGACTGTCACTTCAATTAAAACTATCCTTTAATTAAAGGGTGGGCGAAAGAAAATTTTTAGGCTGCCTACTCTAAGAAGTTAATATGACTTCATTAATAATAATGAATTAATAGTATTTTCTGTCTCTCTGTAGACAGATCTTTCTCCTCTTAGCTGCTTGGCTGTAAATATCAAGCAGAAAAGGATCTGGTCTTCCTTCAAATATGTGCATGTTAAATGGGAGCAGCGTGTTCAAAGTTTTGGAAATGTAATTGTTTCCAACTGAAGAGTTTAGTGTGGTAAGGTAATGTTGTCAGTTTATTAAAAACTTAAAATAAGACTTTTTTTCTTTTTAAATTAGAAGTGACAGAAAGCTGTCCCTGTAACTGTTTTCATTTGCCATTAGGTAACTTAGCCTTAGCAAACTTAGGTAAACTTATAGCCTCTTTTTTTCTTCTACTGATTAAAACCTTTAGAGCCTACAGGAACTTTGGAAAGGGAGAACAACTTCAGATAGGGAAGGGAATGTGGAATTATTTTACTGTGACAACRCTATTATCTTAAATGCTAACAGAGAAGGATCAGTTCTTACCTAGGTAGACACAAAATGAAGGGATAAAATTGAATAGCTCAAGTTTTTAAAAGCTATGGTATTTAAAACAAACAAAAAACTTGCCTGCTGTGTGTTACATATAGTGCTAAGGGCTTTAGGTGTGGGTGTTTTTTTTTTTTTTTTGTGTTTTCTTTTTTAAAAAAGGGGGAGAGCAGCCAGTTACAGTTTAGCCTCTTAGAGCATTTTCATGCAGTGGCTGTAGCCCATCTCCCACCCACTGCACTTTAAGCCCTCTCCCCAAACCACCCCCCTCTGTTAGGGCAAGCAGTCTAAGCAGTTTAAGATTCTAAACTACACTATAATGAAGATACTAACAGAAGAAGTTTATTCCTTTAGGGATCAGGACAGTGTTTCTCCCTCTACTCCTCACACATTCTCCAGGACCTGCCTTAGTTAGGGAGYAAGTTTAACATAATGCCTGCCCTTCTGAGTTCAGAGTAAAGGGTATTTTCCTGACTCAGGTACTAGCAAAAAAAAAAAAGTGTGAGGGGGAAATACATTTTAATTATTTTATTTTCTTAAATATAATAGAACTTTCTAGATTTTTTCCAGAAACAGAAACATTGAAAAAAATTATACTTTATTACAAACAGTAAACTTAGAATGCTAAAAAAAGGAAGAAAAAAAGCCTCTTATTTACAAACAATACTGGGCAGTGCCCAAATAAACAACATAAAAATAACTTACAAAGTCATGAAGTAGTTTATTGACATTAATCAACTTTCATAAAATAAAATAAAAAAAGATATGTACATACACAATTTACTTGAAGGCAGGCAGAATAGTTCGTTGTTGTTGATCAGCCTCCCACAAACCTCCCTCCCACGCTTGTTTTTTTGTTTTGTTTTTCTTAAGGAATACTACAGAAAGCAATCTACAGTTTCTATCGCAGTTTAACCTTTAATACTGAATGATCATCGAATGTTAGGTCCATGCAGGTCTTGGTCAATGTTAAACGAAGATCTGACGTCTCGTGTGAGCAGGGACAGCACTTCTGGAGGGGTGCTGGCTGCCTCTCTCCCGCCTCGAGCTGAAGGCTCACCAGTCTTTCCACACATGCGCTTTGCGGAGCACAGGCAGGACTCGACCTTTCAGCTTTCCCCTTAGCTTTACGTTTCTGCCACTTTGGGTTTTCTGTTTAGTTCTACCACGGCCTCACAGTTCTCATTCAAGGCAGTCTCTTCAAAAAGTTTGCAACTGTTGTGTGAGCATTAGCTGGCACCCGCTGTTCACATGGTTCATGACCTTCTGCTTTAGCTGTGCAACCTGTTCTCTGAGCATGTTGGCAGTGGATGCCAGCTCTGAGTTCTGGGCTTTCAAAGTTTTCACTTTTTCTTCCAACCTGGCAATCCTTTCCAACTTCCTTTTCCGGCATTTGGACGCCGCAATTCTGTTTCTCATGCGTTTTCTCTCTGCTTTGATCCTCTCCTGTGACTCCATATCAATAGGGGACAGGGGAGGTGTTTCCCCTGGCATTTCAGGTACAGTCTGAGGTTCTTCTTTCAAAGCCTGAAGYCGCGGATGCTGCACTGGCATCTGGGGGGTGATGTGATGCTGGGGTGCGTAGCCCATGCTGTTTGCATTGTAGTTAGGCGCGGAGTTGAGTGCGTTGGGGTTGAAGTTGCTGAGATTGGCATAGACCGGGGGCTCGCTGTGCAAGTTAGTATTGAAACTGTTATTACCAGCCATGGAGGACACAGGTGCCATGCCACTGTTAACAGGCTGAGCGGCAGAGGTGACGCTGGGCAAGGTGTTCTGGTTGTGCAGTTCRGCCAGGGCTCTCACAAAGCCTTCGGCGAAGCCCTCTTGCTCGTCGGTCACGTTTTTGGGGCAGAGGAACTGCGTGGGGGTCGGGGTGGTGGTGATCAGGCCGTTGCTGGACTGGATGATGAGCCGCTCGAGCTCAGGCGACGCCAGCTTGAGCAGCCCCACGTCGGGCGAGGTGAGGAGATCCGCGTTCTTGTTCCTCAGGTGCGGCTTGAGGTTGCTGGAGGGGTCGGACAGGTTGAGCGTCATGTTCTGCTTCAGCACTTTGGGGTTATTATATCCATAGCCGCCGCTTTCCGGCGGCGCGAAGGTGGCGTTGAGGGCATCCTCGTAGAAAGTAGGTTCCATCTTTGCACTCATAGAACAGAGCGCGCCGAGTCGCGGCGGGCGGCCGGGGGGACGCGCCGCTCGCGGCCGCCGCTCGCGCCCCGCTCACACGCAGCCGCTGCTGGCGCCGCCGCCGCGGGCTCCGCGGCCCGGGGAGCGGCCGCTCGCGGCCCGGCTCGTCCCCGGGACTCGGGCTGCTGCTGCCTCCTCCTCTCGCCGCCGCCGCGCAGGGGGTCCCGCCTGGCCCCGCGGGGCTGCGCAGGCCGGTGGGTAGCGCCGCGGAGCGCGCGGGACGCGCCGCAAGTTGTCCCAAGTACTTTCCCGGCCGCGGGAGTCCCTCGCTGCTCGCGCTCCCCTCGGCGGAGCCGCCGCCGGCCGCGCTGCTCCGTCCCGTCCCGTCCCTGGCCGTGCCCGGCGCCGCCGCCCGCCCCGCGCGCTCTGAGCCCCGTCCCGCCGTGGAGCCTTCACTTATCAGCCGCCGGGACCCCGCTAAAAATAGCGCATGATGTCACCCCGCGCGCGCCCCATTGGCCGCGGCCGCCCGCGCCGGGGGGGGGCGCGGCCTCCCGCGCGGCCCCGCTCGCCCGGGCCGCCCCGCCCCGCGAAGCTTCGGAGCGGCCGCGCGGCGCCTTGTGGGATGAGGTAATGCTGGCGCCGCCCGGGGCATTGTGGGCTGACGTATTGTTTTGAAGAGCTCGTTACCCGCTCGCAGCGCTCGCGCCGGGTTGGACGGCGGCGCGGGGGGCGCCTCCCCAACCGGCACCTACCAAGTGCCACCAGCGGAGGGGGGGTGGCGGCGGCGGGCGCCTGTCCGCGCTGGGCGCTGGCGGTAAACCAYGGCTGTCTGTTATTTTCTTTTCCTTTTTTTGTGGGTGCCCGTGTGAGGTTTTGTTGGCGCATTCGGGCGGAAGGTGGGGACGGGCCGCTGTGCGCCGGTGCCAGCCTGGTCCCGCGCCTCTCTCCCCCCCGACTTCTCGCGCGGAGTGGTACGGCCCGCAAGGCGGGGCTGCGCGGGAGCGTGTTCGCGGGGCGGGGGGGAGGCGGGGGAGCCCTCACGTGATTTCCCCCGCTCCGCGCCGTCCCCGYGCGCAGGCGCCTTCCGGGCAGCGAACGCCGCGGGGCCGCCCCCGCCCGGCGCGCGGCTAAGGGCGCCGTCGCCGTCATCCTCGCCGGAGGGTCTGCGCCCGTCCAGCCGAGCGCCCGCCGGAAGGGGGTCCGGGAAAGGACCAGTTGCAGAGGGGCTTCTTCGAACCCGGGCCTCCAGGGCAGGGGCAGCCCCAGCCTCATCTTGGAGTGCCCGAGTCCTGCCCGGGAAGCGCAGGTCGGGGAGGGGGAAGCGTTGGAAGGGCCCGAGCGGGGGAGCCAGGCGCGCGCTGTGCTGCGCCTCCCGCAGCGGCAGGCGGCGGGGCCCTCGTGTGCGGCCCCTTGCCTGCCGCAGCCCGGGCTCAGTGCATGCCCCGAAACGGGCCGCGCCGCTGCCTCGGTTGCCGCGGCCGCCTCCGCGCTCCTCGCCTCGTCCCGCCGCGCACCCTCCTCTCCAGCGGAGCCGGGAGTGTGCAGCGCCCGCCGGCCCCAGGCTCCGGGACGCGGGGAGGCGCCGCCGCCGCGAAAGCCCCCGCTCGGGGAGCGCTCCGGCCCTTTGCTCCCCTGCAGCAGGGGCGCTGCGGCAGTGAATCGCTTTTGGTGAATCGTGAGGCCAACATGCTTATGTCTAGGTTTGAAAATAAACTTTCAACTTCTTTTGTCCTGTTTTTTTCCCCTAGATGTAGTGACATAACTAGCAGTTAAAGTATGGAATGAAACAGAAACAAAAGCAGCTGTGAAATCAAAGTAAAGTATAAGTAACTCCACAGTGCCTACATTACTACATTGTTTTTCCTTTTTTTCTGTTTTCCCTCGATGTGCCTACCTGGTTTCAGTCCCTATAGCCACTTGACTTTTTAAGCTCACAGGTGTTAYGCAAGCAACAGTTGCAGTTCTTGGTACACTTGTGTTAACAATCCATAACATGAAGTACAAAGTTTGCCCATGTATTGGTGGCCTTCCATCTGCTGTTGGTACACGCGCTGCCTTCACGTAGGCAACACGCGTCTGTGTTGCAGGTTACTTGAAACTACTTGTGTGGTTTCAGCTGCCTACTGTTTGGGAAAACAACGTGAATTCTTGTGTATGCCTAAGAATATCTCTTAGATTTCAGAATGYAGTGACTGTTGGGAGCAGTTATTTAGCTCCATTTTAATCTTTGCGTGCAAGATAAATGGAGACCAGTCGCTGCCTCTTTTCATGCAGGAGTCAGAGGGCATCAAACAAAAGTGGCAGGTTCAGAGCACGCCTGCAAAATTTTACCAGAGGGAAAAAAAAAACAAAACAAAAAAACCAAACCTTGTTMGGTTCTGGAGCCCCTTGACGCACCAAAGGGTTCCCGGATTTAAAAGTGATTAGGTGAATTCACAGAAGAAAAATCCCTCAAGGGCTTTTGAATRCATCCCTGGTTCTGGAAACCCCAAAGCTGCAGATGTCTCATGGCTGTGGGAGCATCCTGAGGCAAAGCTGCCCTGTGCTCGCCCGGGTTTCCACACGCGCCTGGAGGTATCCGCGGCTGGCTGCTGTCAGAGATAGGGTATCTAATTGGGCCTGAGGGGGCTCTCCTCACATTTGTGTTGTCTTAAAGCTTCCCCCCACCGCCCCAATACACTGTAAATGTTCCCTCTCTGCTCTGTTAGTGCACGATTATGATGTCTATAAACAGCTTGTCTGTATAAGGAGGAAAATATGGAGAAAGGTAAGATAGGAATTTTAAGCAGTTTGTTCTGTGGAGGTTTTACTGTTATGGAATGAGAATGGCTTTTAACTTAAGTCAAAGAGGTTTTTGTTTCTTCTTCCTTTCCCTCCCCCTCTTTTAATCTCTGCAAATCATTTGCTGTATTTTCTGTATAGACAAATATTACTAATTAAATTCACCCCAACAATTTCTTAATATATTTCCAGCGTTCTGTCTTTTTTGGTTTATGTTTTCCTTCAAGTCTGTTTTGTCCTGGAAAGCCAAGTCCAGGCTACAGATCAGGAATAGGGCTGGTACAGCTTTACCTGCTCTATGATAGTAACTTCTTGTGTAAGCTGGAAACACTCCTCCCTTATGGTTGGTCCAGATCAGCCCTACTGATGTCAATGCAAGATTTTCATTAGCTTCRGTTGACCTGGCATGGATGTACTTGCTTAAACCATTTAATTTCTTTTTCTTTCTTGCCCCCGCTTTAGTTCTTAACTTCCTTTCTTATACAGAGGTGGAGTTCCAGGACTAGACATTCCAGTTTGCGAGGGACGTGTGGCTGCTGAGGCCTGTAGCTATAGGGGACACCCATCAGGCCACTCATTAGGTTAATTGCTGCTCACTTAGGGGTTACTTGGTCCAGTCKGGCAACAGGCTGCCAAGCTGGTCATAAAGGTTGTGCGTAGCAGGAAGACTCACAATGAAAGACAGAGTGAAGCTGCTGCTCGCTCTGGGGGCGGTTTCTGCCTTTTGGACTCTAACGTGGAGTGATCTGTGATGAGGTGCTTGGCTGAACACAGAAGCCTCGCTTTAGATTTCAGCTCAGTGCCAAATTTACCATTTGAGTCTCACCAAGATTCACAGGTCACAAAACAAAAGCAGGACCCGTGAAGCCAGCGATCCTGCCGCGGCCATCAGCCAAGGAGCTGGGAATTTTGGTGACTAGGCTCCTGATTTATTAAACAGCTATTACTTGAGGGCCTTTTCCCCCTTTCCTGGTGTGCTTAAGTAAATATACCTTTAGCAGAATGAAAGAACACTTACTGACCCATTTATAAACCATAGCCATTTGCATGTCTCCATAAACTAACGTGTGGGTAGGGACTGGGAATTAACTATATATCTCTGTGCATGTGAGACGCAGATGCTCTGAACAGCAGTAATGCAGATTTTGATTTATAAAGTTCTCCTATCAATCAATACAAGACTGACTGAGGCAATCAGATAATCTGAATAATTAAATGGCTTTTCAGGGGCAAATTAAAATTTCTTGTACGTACCGCATCCGCCTAAATTATATTTGGTGTTCTGGAGTAAATGGATTGTTTGTTTTGTCTCAGTGTCAGAACACAAGTGCTTTGGGCACTTGTGGCCTTATATTCCAGGCCACTTGTAAAAAGGTGAATGGTAGTTTCTATTCTTCATACATAGAAAAAAGTGCTAACAGAAGGGAAAAAGCTGTTTTCATGCAGTGCTCTTGCATCATCTTGCTTTTTCTCTTGCYGGAGATATTTCTATAATATATTTATTACTCTAGACTTTTCTTTTTAATTCTCTCATTCTTGCCTTCAAATGTGCTCCCCTGTTTCACTACTGTCTGGAGCGAGCAAGCCTGGGAACGGAGTGGATCTTTGGTGCTGCTTTTCACTTGTTTGAGGAATTTCTAAGAACAGGTTCCCCAAACTAAGAGATGGAGCAGTTTGAAGGGAGGGAAAGAACAAGCCTGTTTCTTTTTTACCTTGCATTAGAACACACTAAATGAAGCTGGGAGTGAGAGAGCAAAAATAGCAGTTTCCTTGGGGTGAGGGGAAGGAAAATAACTTGCAGGGCATCTGTTGCTTCTGCTCCCAAGTCCTTGCCATCTCCTCACTCTGTTTTCATGGTCTGGCCAAATCCATCCAAGTCTTCATCACTGCTAAAAGAGGTGCCACATCCTCTGCAGCAGCTTCAGGTTTCCATGGCCTTGCTTTTTGCTCCTGCTAGGACTCATGTGGCCAGGTAGAGATCCAAGGACTGGATCTGGCTGAAAGCTGAGCTGAAATAAAAAAAAATATTTGCGGATACAAGAGGAGGGGTGAGAATGTATAGGCCAAGGGAAGAGAACTGACTCTGAACTGGAGGTGAAGGACACTGAAACCAGATCTATAAAACAAGATTGAACACTAGTCCTGAGCTAGTCTTCAGTCTGCACATGAAAAAGGCTCTAAAAGGCTCTTCAGAACCACGGGCTCTTGTAAATGAGTATCGTGTCCATCTCCTCCACCCTCCATTAGTCATCGCATAACCAAGCTCTACGCAGCCAGTCCTTTTCATCTTTCTTCTTGTCAAGCCCTTTAGCCTGTCCCCCTCACCTACTCATCCCACCAATCATTTTAATTAATCTCTGAATTTCTTTGAAACTACTACTTTGTGGAATGGAGGAAAATGAGTAGGTTAGAGAGACAAGATTGTGAATGATGGAGGTGGGGCCAAGTTAGGAGGCTTCGCAAGACCTGTTGGGTTACCTCAGGGGCAGGACACTAACGCTGGCTGTAAACAGAAAGTGCAGAAGTCAGGAGGGAACTACTAAAAATATACCTACCCCCCCGAATGCTGCTTATGTAATTGAAAACCAAGAAGAAATTACTCACTGTCAATTTTTCCTATTCCCAGCTAGCTTTATAGGGGATTTTGATGGTCACTACTGGTGCTGAGAAATGTATTTTTCAAATGATTAGTGACCTATATCTTTGGTGTTGAAAAACTATATATATTGCATATATCTGATTAAAAAAATGAATAGAAGTTAAACATATTGCTTAGAGATGAGTCTGAAAGGGACCCTAAGATCCCTTTCCCATGCTTTTTAGATTATTAGAAATCTAAATGTCACACTGCTAATGTGTCTCTGTTCATTATTTTTATACTGTAGCATACCCAGTGCTCTAAGAATCGCAGAGTTGGGTGAAGTTTCCACCCTGTGGAGCTTCCACTTGGAAAAATCCTGTACATACAGGCAGAACAGCCCCTGATCCTGGCTGAAAAATCCTGGCAGAACAGCCCCTGATCTGTGGTCGGAGCGCAGTGAGCGGAGCGGGCTCAGAGGTAAGCTCTGAAGGAGGCACTGGAGGACATGTGGCGCATGGGAAGCAGAGGGATGTGTCCAGCCTTGGGAACCGACAGCACGAAAAAATTGTGACATGCAAACAGAAACATGCAAATTCTGAGCACTGGGGAGACAGGTAAAGAGCTTTGATGAAAGATCTTTTGTTTGAGACAAGGATCGAGATACTGCTGAAATGCAGGTTCCCTGGGGGGAGCTGAAGTTCGCTTTCTGACATTGCCATAAATGCACATTAATGTATGCAATGGCAACCAAATACATTGGTTTATGATTGCTGATCATGACCATAAGCCTTAGATAAGCTATTTAACTGTCGAGGGCCCTTGATTTAAAAAAAAAAAAAAAAAAAAAAAAAAAAACTGAGTTTTGATTATGATCTTAGAATGGGTGCACAATGCTTGTTTTTTTGGTTGTTTCTGTTTTGATTTTTTAACTAATAATCTGGCATCTTATCAAAGTTGACACCTCACTCTCTTAGCAGCTGTTGGAACAGTAGGTTCCTGGCAACATGGAGTAAAACAGTGCCTGACCAGAGAAGCAAGGGAAATRAGTCTGCATGAGACCAAATATGCTCGTGTGAAGCACCATGGAATTTAGAGCATTCTGATGAGAAATCAAGCTTTCCTTCCAGATTTTATTTTATTTTATTTTTATTTATTATTTTTTATTTTATAACTTCAGGCTTAGATGTGGACAGGGAGTTTCTGTTACTGGATATCACTAGTGGTTGATGGTTGACGGATGTAAGGGCACCTATCTGAATTTGACTAATGGCTTTGGTACTGCCAGGAGTATCCAGAGAAAGCCTTGAACAGTGAAAGTAGGTCCTGCAGATTGCTCCTTCCCAGGGATTATAGTGGCAGAGCCTGTGGGGAGGTTTGGAGTGCCTGCTCATGTAATTCAAATGGCACCATTCACTCTGCGTGATAGTCATTTGTGTTGGAGTCATGGTGTGGGAGCAGYGAGGGTTGCCAAATAACTAAGGAAGGCACCGTTGGGAGGAAAGGGCATGGCCTCGGTAAGCGCCTACCTAAAAGCACAACCCCAGCTAGACACTTCAGTTTTGAACAAGATGCTTCTAAACTGCTCCCCTTTCTTGCTCCGAGGAGGTTAGTAACAAATTAACACAGCTGATGCGCCAGCCCAGCAGCGTAGCTGCTCCTCGCCGCRGGAGCCAACCCTGTCCCCTCACAAGGTGGGGGTATCCTGCCCTCATCCAGGGCGGCCCCATAGAACTTGAACAGGAGAGGAGCCAAACTCCCTGAAACTTTAAAAATTGCTKCTGTTTCTTCCTTTCTTCTGCAGTGTTGGTAGTGCAACTACTGTTGGTAGTTGCAGACGCTGTGGTGTCTGTATGTGCCAGAAAGGAGACGGAGGTGGAAGATTCTATCCAAAATCAGTACTGATCCCTCCCCGAGACCTTGTTTTGCACCGTAGGTTCAGGAGCACCRTTCACATACACTGGAGGCAGCAGGACACACTGCTTGAAGCTCCCCGCAGCACGTGTGTTGAGCAGACACACCAGTCAGCTGCAGGACCAATTACACAGCCTGTTGAGACTGTGCAAGGCATAAAAAGGTATGAGGCTGGATTATATTAGGATGACATTGGTGAGAGCTAGAGGATATAAAAGGGGATAAAAGGACAATAAGCAAAGGTCTAAGGGCAGAGATACCTGCTAGTTGATATTCAACCCTCTCTTTCAGCGGGCGCAAATAGAAAGACATTCCTTAAATGGCTTTTCTGTACTTAGAGGTGTGGGTACCTGCTGTCACATGAATGTATTTGCTGAGGCTTCTGTTCAGCTAGGAACAGTCTGTGGACTCAGTTAAGTCATGTGAGAGGTTCAGCACGTGTGTTGTAAGAGCTCCTAGTGTAACGTAGGCTTGCTCTATATAGGCATGTTTTGTGCTGATGTTTTCCAGTTACTGCGTTCCTTGCAGTCAGGGTAGGAAAAGGTGTGTGGCTGGCAAGGCTGCAAGCCCAGACAAAGATGTTTTGGGTGTGGATGCTTACAGCCTATTGCTAGGTGCTTCAGATAGGCATTTWTGTCAAAGATCTGAGGTCAGTCCAATGATAGCCAATTCCAGTCCTCGATGATTCTATAAATATTTATAAGAACAGTGGTTTGTTTCATGTTTATTGCCCTGGAAAGCATTTGCCTAAGCCCGTAGTGGTGGTGATGGTGGTGGGGGGTTATCTAGTCTTCCGGCCAAGAAAATTTGCAAAGTCAAAGAAAAATTTGTTCGCCTCTTTAATGTCACCTAATGAGTTTAATGAGAAATAATCTTATTCCTTTTACACCTAGGGGGGAAAAAAGTGTGTGTGGGGGAAGAAAATAAACTGAAATGGGCTAGACCCTTGTTTTTCTGCTCTTGCCTTTCTGTTGAATGACCTTAAGTCACTTATGCCTCTCTGTTCCTCAGTTTCCCTGTCTGTAAAATGGTCATAATGAGAGTGAAGTCCTAGTGAAGTACGAAGTTCAATGGAAAAATGATGCTTTACCCATGCGATGAACTAATTCTAGTTTTTTTTTTTTTTTTTTTTTAAAAAAAAAAAAGCTTTAAGAAAAAGGTGTAGAACAGGATTGGAACTTCATTGGGAAGAAGATCTTGGCTTACCTAAGTTCTTATTAGTATAAAATATGTATTACTGTCCTCCTGCTTTGCTTTTCAGATATCAACCATTGACATTTTTCTTGGTTCATCAGTCTTTTAACGCAGGCTGAAACCGACCCAGGCTGGGCAGAACATATCCTGGCACGTGGATTTATGCTGTTTTCGCTCTCGGGTCACTCTCTGACATTCTGACTAGATATCTTCCTGTTGTTCTAGGTCAGCTCTATTTTGAGGGTACTTTTCTTTGCATTCAGGTGATTTGCAGTTGTTAGTATCAAAAATATCACGTGGTAGGAAGGATTACATGGCCCTTTGACAGGAGGGGAAGCGGAGGCACTGAGGTTGAAGCCTTTCTAGAATTGCATGCCGTGCTCCTTGGAATCTAGGAGATAGCGCTAATGCTTGTCCAATACTTGGACAACAAAATGTCATGTGCAACAGAGGAACTTTTCTGCATTATACACCCTGTGGGGAAGAGGACGTGTCCAGCAGCAGCTCCTTCCTCATATGACCAGAGGTTGATAGTTGTGGGGAAAGTGAAGCCCCCCTGGCCACCTCCAGTCAGTAAAGCTGCTCCTAAGCATGTATATTTTTAAACATWTGTGTATATGACAGTAACTTTTAAGAAAACCAAGGAGTGGTTTTCTACAGATGTAGATCAGCGCAATGTAGTTCCACAAGTACTTTCGGCCAGCACTGCTGACAAAGAGGCAGTCCTGCCCTCTTCCTGCTCCCACACTGTCCCCTCCCTTGTGCTGACACAACCATGAGGTGAACTGTGTTGGGAAATACATCCAGTTCAAATCTGTCCCAGGAAAAATACCTGCGAAAATACCTGCGGGAGGAGATGTTTGCTGCTTTTTAGTGCATCACCAACACATCCCGAGTTGAAGTTCACGTGGGATTCATATGTTAGTGGGATTCAATGGTCTCCATTACAGTTAGGGGCTTTGTTTGTTCCAGCAGCTTCTGGCTAAAAGAGAATTAGGCTGCAGCTGGAAACTCAATCAAAGTAGTTTCAAAACATTTCATTCATATGTGGGCTGCAGTGGATTCCCAATACACCTTTACTATAGTCACTAATGCTCGGTAAGCCTGTCAACATAGCAGTCAAACAAAGGCTAGTCTCAAGACTGTGTGTTGTGTAAATAACCCTTGTGCCTAGCAGGGTGTCACGGAGTTAATGTAAAGCCTGTGCGAAGGGGAGGGCGTGGGAGCCGCGTGCCAGGGCTAACGTTCCCCTTTGGCRGGGATTGCAGCCGGATTGCAACAGCCCGGCCTCGCTGCGCTGCCGCACGTACTGTAAACACTTCTCTCTCCGCGCTCGAACTCGATAGGGGTGCTGATAGAACAATAAACCTTTCTGGGAACTGACAGTGGAAGGCAAGGCTTTGTTTTAAGGCAATGCTCCATTAGCATAGAGGAGTTTCCTTCGTGGAAGGCTGATGCTTTCCAGGTGGCCCACCAGGCAGCCAGACAAAGGAGGGTACATACGGCAATGTTCACAAAAGGGTTAAGGTTTCAGAGTAAGGAGGGGAATGTAGAAAATTCCGTGAACTTTAATAATTACACCTATATCTTCCATGTAACCTGGACTTTTTTGGTTTTTTCACAGATCTGTAGTCAAGGGTTAACTGACAGGAATAGCCATCCTGGTAAAAATGCACAAGTTTTAAATCAAACAGCATTTCATTTGCAAAATGAAATGTGCATTTCCAGGGTATGCCTTTTGAAGGGTAATAGAAGGTTTAGCAAAAGACAAACTCTTTTTTTATTTTTTTTGTCAAGCAAGCACTTTTTCTGTAGGTTTCAAAATCCTTTGTTGCTTGTAGTAGATTTTCTTTTTTTTCCCTCCTCCAAAGAGGATAGAAACCATAAGAAACACTTCAGCAGAACTTACAGCCTCTTCCCGCCCTTTCTCTCCCTCCCTGCTTCCCTGAACACTGGGAGTTCTCAAAAATATTTTGGGATCCTGGAGATTAAAAACRGTGTTTTATATTTGTATTTGTCTTATAATAGCTTTGACTTTCACCCACCTTGTCCTCCCCCGTATGGAGGGTACATGTGTGTGCACTCCCTCTAATGCTGTTTATATGGCCACTGTCAGGCTCAGTAAGCAATTTCTTCCTGTGACACCTTCCCATGTGATGATGTTTCCAGGTCTTGTCTTACCTCCTACCTCCGCCTTCCCCTGTGCAAAGTGACTTGATGGAGGGTAGCTGAGAAGAACAGAAATAAATACCGGTGCTGTCAAATCGTAGTTGATAAATGGAAACTCTAGAACCTTGTGAATCTACTGGCGACATAAATGTAGGGCAGCTGTTTGCATGGTATTTTATAGGCGTTCCAGTTAAACAAGTTTTGCTTATTGCCTATTTCAAGTTTAGGCATTTTATTATTAGTGTGTCTGAAAAAGTTAAGGACTATAGTGCCCTAATGCATCTCTTAAGTAACATTTAGAAAAGGATGTGGTAATCTGTTTAAGGATTCCCTGCGTCAATAGGGATGTTACTAAAGAGAACTGAGATAAAATGTAAATGTAAATAATTGCTCCTGAAACAAAGGAAAACTGGTAAGCAGCCAGATAGAAATTAGAAAGTTAATTAGTTTTACACCAGGGGGCTAAATCATACCAGTGCAATCTTGGGTATGCTCAGTAAATGGCAAGACCCTTGTTAACTCCAGTAGAACTAAGAATTTCCCSTTCATGAGTGGGTCTGTATGGGTAAAATTTCCCAGGGTGTGTGAACATGCTATATAAGCGACCAGATTGTCACAGATTTGAGTTAGAGATGCTTTCATTTTCAGTATCTCCTGCAAGGCTCTTTTTTGCAAGACGAGGAGTGTTAACTCTTGTGCCTGAGCCAAAATTCCAACCTAAGCAGAATGTACTCATCTAAATTTCCCTTTTGGTTTCATTTGGACAAGGTATGCTTTGGTGTAGGGTTGCTGTGTACTGTTACAACAGTTGCCGTGTTGGGAGCTTGGGAATGCGCCTGCATGGAAGAGGTTACATTAAAACCGGGACATGATAATCTCAGAGAAACCCCCGAGTGTGATGTTTGAAAAGGGGGGGGGGGGGGGAAGATAGGGAAAACACATCAAAGAGTCCCAGTGAGAGTCCTAAAAGGAAAAACACTGATTATATTTGTTGTGATTTTGTCTTACATGAAATAAAAGATGTGTGGTGTGTCCTAGGTCACCACCCCAAGGGGTGTGTGCTTAAAGACAACAGCATCAGCCTCCAAGACTTGGCTGTGGTTTATTTTGGTTGCAGGGCTGGGAAGATAAGATATAATTGTACCATATACACAGTGGTGCCATCAATCTGATAGATTATGCTTCTCACACCTCTGACCACCTTGCCTTTTCTCTAGCTGCTAATCTGTTTCTAACAGGATAGCTCCTAATTTTCTGACCTTTCAAGAAACTTTCAGCTACATTTTTCTTTCCTAACAGTCACAAAAATATTTTTCTTTCTCCAAATCTGTAACTCTTTGGAATGAAACTAGTCAAGGACTAGCATGAAATGGGTAATATTGATTATTAAATCTTTGACTAGTTCAACTTCAGTAAATTGTAACTCCTACAGGCTAAAAGTTGTTTAGGTTTCCATAAAAGATCTGGCAATAAGGACAGTTACTGATAGTCCTGGGAGTTGGCACTCCAGCAATTTTTGATAGTGTTATTTCAGAACAATGTCAGAATTATGTTTGTAAGTTTGTTAGTCTTGGTCTGTCCTGGGAACCATGGTAGAAAAAGTTTGAACTAATAAAATATGCAAAATGTGGTTTTAGGACTCTCCTTTAATGTGGAAAGGGGAAAAAGGTTTTGGTTGATTTTAGCAAATCCAGTAAGGGAGCTGTTTACTTAACAATCTCACAGTTATTTTTTTAAATGTGCCCTTTCTGCTGTTTTTCAGCTGGWTTTAGGTCATCTGGACTAGCATTTTAAATAATGTCTTCTACTGATACATGGTTTTCAGCTGTTACTTTGACTTGGATAGTTGCAGTTTCTTTCTGACATGCTGGTACAGTAGATGCCAAGAAACTAAAGGAAAGTGGACAGGATGTTGGAGCTGGAAGAATGAGAGATATAAACTCCAGCAGACACTTAGAATTTAGATAGGAAGGTTGCATCTAAATTTATTTTTCCATGGGAATATCTGCTTTATGTAATTTGAAGTGATAGTAAGATTATAGATATTTGTTATGACCTTGTGGGACTTTTATTTGGGTGATGCAGCCTTCCTAAGAAAATGGAAGGCAATTAGGCCTTTCTGCAGTCCTACTGAGAACGTGCTCTCTCTTCACAAGTCAGTGTAATGCTCATGTACCTAAGCTAAGCACAGGCCCAATATGTGCATGTATCTGAAAACAACAGAAAAAGTGCTTCTTTCCCTCTCAGCAGTGTCATTGCTTCCCAGACTGGCTCATGTTTGTCTTCATTTCAGGATTTTTTTTTTTTTTTTTTTTTTTACATTGGGGAGGATGACTGTGTCTTATTTTACTACGAAAGCAGATTATAAAAGATGCTGGGTAGAGGAATATACTCTTATTTGTGCCAGTTGGGTGATAATTGCCTTAGTGTAATTATCATGCATTATATTATTCTGCATGAAGTTTTTGGCTTTTGCCGTTTTAGAGGTTGGGTCCGAGCTGCCGCTGGACCAAGTTGTCCTGTRCTGCAGTGAGTCCTACACCTTGATGTGTTTGAGCTAACAGATCTTTTCCAGCATAAGCAAGAGAGAACTTGGAGCAGAGTGTTCCAGGTGAAAGATCTTTGCATTTTCCTCCTGCCACCTTGACTTGATTATTTTGAGGACATGCTGTAAAATCCACCTCTATTCCTGCCTTTTTGGGACTTTGAGGAGCAACAGATGGATAAGCCGAACATTGGAAACAGAACAGAGAAATGTGTGCAGAGAGCAACACCTTTATTCAGATGTGGCTAAGGTTAAGCAGCAGCTTCCTGTCTAGGATGTCCTGTTAGATTCACTTTTTCTTCTGGTTAGAAGTCTTTATCTTTATGTTTTAGGTATTTATTTTAAAACCCTCTTGTTCTAGTAACAGTTTAAAAAAATCACTCACTATATTAAGAGTGATCCTAGATTCATTTAGTTTTGATCTGATCCTCACAAAAACAACAGATGTGCCTGTGAAGCTACAAGTGGTGCGATGGCATGAGCAATAGTGGCAAATACTGTTTTTTCCTAAAATCAAAGCTAAAAATGTGTTGTTGACTTATATGCAGTATTACTGATTCCTGACCATTTTAGTTACAATAATACATCTAGAACCTACTGSACTGTATAAACACACAAAATAAATACGTCTTGATAGTTACTTGTGTTTAATCTGTTTTCCTGCAAATACCCTGTCTTTCTTTTGTTACTCGGTGTATTCATGCTGCGTTTCTCTACTTCATTTTATTTCCCCAGGTCACAGAATCATGCTGGAAGGAGAGCTATTGTCTCCAGAAAACCTTTTTAAGTCTTCTAAAGGCCTCTATCTGGAAAGACTTTTTGGTGGTAGGAGGGCTGCTTTGGTAAGTGTTCATTCCATTAATGGTCTCATCAGTTTTTTACTTACACACTTTGAAGGTTGGATAGAGCCTTAGCTTGAGTAAGGGTTGCAGAGTATTTCCTAAATTCAAAAACTTTGTACATCTTTTAAATCAAAACAAGATTCCTTTATTTGTGTTTAGGATGCTTAGGCAAAGGAACAGTTCAGAAATAGACTGTGCTCAGGCTCCAGTGAAGCAAATGAGAACTGCATTTGGTCAGTGCTGTTAAAAACCAGGTGCATAAGTTGGAAAAGGTTGATCCAAATGATATTATTATAAGTAGTAGGGAAATGTCATGACTTACTGAGATTAAACAAAGACCTGCTTCGAATCTTGTGACTTCAGCTCATAAATGGATTTCATCACTCATTGCAGCTGCATAAACAAATGCATGTGGCATATAGGTGTGTTTTGTTTTTGGAAGTTGTTTTCTTTTTCTTTTTTTTTCTGATTTTTTTTTTTTTTTAATTGCTCCTAATGAACCAATATACCCCAGTTCTGGAGTGATGACTCCTGTACCTGAGCAGCATCGCACAATCATAGCTTATTAGGGGAACATTTTGCCTGCTTTTCTCCCTCTGGCAGCCGAACCGCTTTGGCAAGCAAGTTATTTTAAAGGTGAAATTTACAGTATGAAACCTGGTGTCCAAACTTCTATTCCTTTTATGAAAGTAGCCTTTCCCTGGTGCTCCTTTGGAGCTGCAGAAATGTAATCCCAGCTCAATCAACAGTTGGAGCAAGGCCTACACAACATCTCAGCACACACAGAGTGAGTTTATTGTGCACCTAGGTATTTTTCAGCTGTTTAATGTAACCGTCTGTGGTGGTTGTGTTCCGCTTTCTCATGATAGGCCTCCTGGAAACTTGGTTCCCTGTGATTATCCATAGGTAATTAGTTCTTTGCCCATGTTGTCCTGCCAATGTGTTGCAAGTGGGATGCGGGAAGATTAATCAAAGTTCTGGTCTCCCCTGCTGGAGTTATTGCCTGAAGGCACTAATGGTGGCACTGGTCTGTGATGTGGAGCAGGCTTTTGTCATCTCTCTGCTTAAAATAGATGCAAATTGCCCCTGTCGAGCCATTCTTGTATCTTCAGGTTAAAACTTACGACTTCTGTGACTGCACTATACAGCATCTCAGGGCAGGCAGTGCTTAAGGATTAACATTGAGAAAGCAAGATGGCAAAATGTTTGGGTAATTCCTTGAATACAGATATACCACTTTATATAAAGACCAGGAATGCTGCTTTACTCATGGAAAGATAGTGTCTGATACTGATGTCATGAAGAGTTAAGAGATGTTAAGTTGTGAAGAGTTTTTTTTCCCTCCAAAGAAAAGTATTCAAGATTTCTCCATTTTTACTGTCACTTTTTCTCAGATAAGGATTTAAAATCAAATTAAGAATTATTTATTCATGAGGATTTTTTTTAACTCCCAAATTTCCAAAGTTTTTTTTATTATTATTCACCTCCTCCTTCCATCCAAGTGAAAACTAGAGTCAGGAAAGTAGAGAGAGCAACAATATGGGACGTGTTTACATGTTCATCCTATATAGACAGGTCTTACTGCAAGTGAATTAGTTTGTTTTGTTCCCCAGCAAAAAGAACACATACATTGAAAGGGATTTAATTCAAACTGGAAGAAACTGAAATCTTCTTGTTCCCCTGTCAAGTGGCTCTGTTTTGGGGGCAGCTGGGGAGGTAGGTTAATCATATGGAGCTTGCTCAGGCCCATTTCCCCTGTACCTGTGTCTGAGTGTCCTGCCAGGCCTGCTGAAGCCGTTGGGGCGGCAGTTCCTCCCCTAAATATCTGTCCTAAACTCCTAAATATCTGTCCTAAACTCCTAAATATCTGTCCCCCTATACTTGGGTAGCTAAAATGATGCCTGACATCAGAGACTTGCTCTCCAAAACGTTGCCTTGACTGCCTGAAAACGTCACATGAAAATCAAGTGTGGTTCACCCACAAACCATCTGGCTTTGCAGATCTGAAAAGGATCTTGTAATTAATTAAGCCTCTCGGCTTCCTAATAAGGCCCYGTCGAGATGCTCGGGGCCGGCGAGGCCGGACTGGAGGCCGCAGGGAGGGCTGTGGTGGCCGAGGGGCCGCCCTGGGCTTCCACCTCGCCGCTCAGCTGGTGTTGCTCCTGCTGGGCCCGGAAATTCCTGCCTTTCTCCTTATAGGGCCTCCGAGGTCCCTGCGGAGCGTGGCCGCCGCGGCAGCGCTTCCCGGCTYGCCTCGGCCGCGCTCCTAAAAAGGCAGTTCCCCGCTCGCGCTTCCCGCCGCCGCGCTCCCCAGGGAGGGCAGCGCTGCCGGCCGCCTCCATGCCGCTTCGCGGGGCAGCCAGCGGCTTGGCGGCCCTGCCGGCCTCTCCTCCCCGTGGGGAACGCGCTCGGCGGGAGCAGCGGCCGAGCCTCGAGCCTCTGCGCACCCGTGCGCCTCTGCGCTGGGCTCGAGCCCTGTGAACCCCCGCCCAGGGCTGCCGCGTTGAAAGCCCCAAAGCGGTCACAGCAACAGGAGCTCAAAGCAGTTCGTGTCCTCTTTCTTCTCTCCTCAGCTGCCGCTCTGCTCACGTTTGCTTAGTTCTGCATCAGGCCACGCTGTGTTTTTACTTTGGTTGAATTTCTTCCGAAACCCAAAAGATTTTTCTGCTCTCTTTTAGAGCGCAGCTTCCCAAAACGTGGGCTAGTTGTACAGAGCCGGTGTCAGGCCACAGCCTGGGATAGAGACTGGCAGAAATACTTGAAATTAATCATGTCCCTTGTTCTTCCTAATGGGAAACCTTTGCTGTGCTACTCTCCTCCTGAAGGAATATTTTACTAGCTATTTTTAATGGTTTGAGTGCTTTTGAAGGATCTGGCTATTGATTTATTTATTCTYATGCCAAGTTTCAGGCTTAGTTACAGTCTGATAGATTTTTAAGGACAAATCCTTTACAGGAGCCAGATTTTAGAAAGACTTGAATATGTTAATTCAGAAGGGATTTGACTCTGGATTTTTTTTTTCTTTTAATTAAATTAACAAGCCCTCTTAGCGTAATTTGAACAAATAATRATGAGTGGGGGTTTTAAGATCTGTGAAATTCAGGCACTTGCAGCACAGAGAACAGTGGCAGAATGATTTCAAACATTAAAATAATTCTTTTCCAAGGGGGTTATTTGGGAAAGGCTGGTAAAGGAGGCGCCCGGGTAGCGCCGCCCGTATTGCGTGCGAGACGTTGGGGTGCAGCTCTCGGGGCCTGAACATAATGTACTCGAGCACAGCGGCATGTCTTGTCGGAGCCACGTACTTCCTTCGTTTATCAGGCTGCTCCTGGCAATTCTGTTCAACCTTTGGACTTTATGGCCTCTCTCAGGATGTAGCATTGGTTCCCTAATATCTCTTCTCTTGTCTCCTGCCAAGTTTCCAGCAGGCAGGAGGCYGTGACAAGCAGGGTCACAGGTGTGAAAGGAAGTCAGCAGCACAAACAACTGTTATTACAAAAGTGGCTTCCAGAGCCAAAGATGAAACACRGCTCTTCTCGTGGGTCTGCCAGAGCATCCTCATCTTTTTCTGAGATCATAAGGTGTTTTCTAGCTCGCATTTCTATTTGTACAGGCTTTTGTACCAGTGCTGGGTTCGTGCCTGTGGATCAGCTAGGTGGGGTTAGGATAAAAGCAATGAGAATGCCAGGCCCTCACTTAATGCACATTGTTCTGTGAGATCCGGCGTATATTATATTTACTGGGATTGTTTTTATAGCTGCTGGTACTTGAAGTATGCCCTTCACGTAAACCATATCAAAAGTCATGTTGCATGTTTGAATGGTGCTAACATGAGGTATTTAGAGAGAAACAGGGATTGGACAAGAAGGAAGAGGGTGATTAGAGAGAAATGTTCCTGGGACAATAAGGAAGAAGGTGATTGTTAACAGCCCTGGTTAGATGAGGCTGGGGATGTCCTGTCTGACTAGTGGCTGTGGAATTTGATAATTTGGGAAAACCAAAGATTTATGGCCGTAGGTTTGGGGCACTAAATATAGCAGAGTGCTGTTTCACAAAATCCTGATGGAAGTGGTTGCTTCTGCCTTTGCCAATCAAGGTGTGGAGCAGTCAAAGCTGAGTAATGTTCCCACGGTGTAAATTTAAGGTGAAAAGCACCTTTACTGCATAGCAGCATTACCTGTCTTCTGTAATTCAGGCAGACTAAACTACCAAGTTCTAGAAATTTTATAGAAATTTAAGCATGTATTTATATTTAATTTTAGAGAATTTTTCTATACACAAAACATTTAAATGCAGGCAATCTGAATTAACACCCCCTATCCATTCTTGGCGATGCCATTCTTGACTTGTAGCTGTGTTGTTTTCCTTAGTCCAAAATACAGCAGCTCTGAAGGGGACTCCGCTAGTGCTTTTTCATATGCAAATTTGTAGCAAAGTAAATCTATCACTTTCAGTAGTATTAAGATGTTGTGTGGGGTGTTTCTSCTCCTTTTTTTTCCTTCAGATAACGTAATTTTAGCATAATTATAATAATACTTAGGAGTTATTTCCCTTCCCGTATGTGAATTAAGTAGCAGTGTGGAAGCATGTTCCAGGCCATGTAAGGCCCCTTACTCTGGGAGTTTTTGCTACTTTAACCACACTGTTAAAACAGTAATAGGTTTGAGTACTGTGACTGTGAAATTTAGAAATCCTGGGGTGCTTTCAGTGGTGCAGATGCTCTGAGGATCCATGTCTTAACAGTAACCCACCCTCCCTTTAGCCCTGTGTACAGTCCCAGCTCTTTGTTCTTTCCCTATTCATCAATCTCCAATTGATTCAGTGAGACTTGCTGTGGAACAAGGTGACTAAAGGTATCTGAATTTGCCCTTTCACCAYAGGAGGAATTTGGCTCCAGTTCTGATAACACAGGATAAAGCAGACTTTAGAACAAATGGYTTTAGCGAGCTAATGTTGGTAAAACCATGCATATTTAACTTGTAATCTGTSCTTATAAATGG